GTTTGGGCCCAGGTGTTGAAGCACTGCGCTGGTGGTGGGACAGCTTTTCCAGGGAAGCCCTGGGCAGTTGTCTCCCCCTTTCCTGCTTTTTTTTTTTTTTTGCCATGGCAAAAGGGGTTTTGAATGAACAGCTTTTTCCTGGAGATCAAAGCAGGGGCTGCTGCTCCGTGCAGGTAACCCTGCCTGCCTGGGCCTTTTGGGGAATGGCTCATTTAAGCAGCTCAGGGTTTCTCCTGTGTGGGTACAGACTCCCACAGCTGGCACAGACACTCCAGCTCTGTGCTGCTCTTTGTGCTCACATTAAAAAAGCCCTTTGCATTTGCTGTGGGCAGGCCCTGACCTGCCCAGCCAGGCACTTTTGGGATTGCTCCCTCTTTGATATGGATGTTGACTGGAGATTTGGGCATTCTTGAAAATCCTGTAGCATAAAGAAATGTTCATTATCCCATGCACTCGACTGCTGGGCTATGTAAAGCATCTGCAGCCTCTGAGGCTGGCAATACCTTTCCTTTAAAACAAACAGAAAAGGGAGCTGATAGCAGGCTCAGATTCCCCTCAGTTTTCCTTAGCAGAGGGAGGTTATCACAACTTGCAGGGATGTCTTGCAGGGCGAGCAGCCTGAGCTTGGCTGGGTGCCCGTGGGGATGTGTTTGTGTGAATGCTGCACCAGAGCAAGGCTCTCCAAGCTGCTCCTCTCCATTCCCTGAGGAATCCCGTGGCTCTTTGTGTCCCTTTAAAGCTCCACTTGGCAGCAGAGCTGCAGCCCTTCCTACTTGGCCTCCTGCTCCTGGAGCTTTGTACCAAACTTCCCCCAGAAGTTGTTGAACTTTGTTGTTTGAGCTGGCGGGACTGAGCGCAGCCCAGGGAAAGCCCAGGAAAACAAAGAGATCCCAAACTCTGCTGAACAGCTCACCAGAGGAACAGCAATCCCTCCCCTTCCTCAGCAACACAAATCCCAATCCCTGTGGATCTGGCAGGGCTGGGGAGCTGCTGCAGTATCAGCCCCGCTGGGAATAGCAGCACTGAGGGGGTGGGGTTGGCTGGACCGGTTTCCAAATTCCTACCAGTCCAGAATTCGGGCAGAACTGCAAAACACCCCCAGGAGCTCCAGCAGGGTGGGTAGGAGAGGAGCAGGTGTGGGCAGAGAGCAGCAGGGCACTGCCTGGCCCTGGGAACGCAGCAG